GGGGCCCTCCTGCTGAGCTGCCTGGCCCTCGGGGTGCCTCGGCTCTGCCTTCCTCATAGCTCACTCTCCTGGGTCCAGTGGGGTAGCCCTGAAATGTTCTTTTCTTGTTTTAAAATATATCTTTATTGAGAGAGAGGAAGGGAGAGGGAGAGAGAGAGGGAGAGAGAGAAACATCAATGATGAGAGAGTCATCAATCGGCTGCCCCCCTGCACTCCCCCCACTGGGGATCGAGCCTGCAACCCGGGAATGTGCCCTGACCGGGAATCGAACCGCGACCTCCTGAATCCTAGGTCGATGCTCAGCCACTGAGCCATGCTGGCTGGGCCTGATATGTTCTTTTCATGCCAAAGGTGGAAACAGAAAAGAGCAAGCAGAAATACACACGTCTCCTTAGGCCTAGGCTCCAACAGCACACCATCACTCTGGCCTCATTATGGCCAAAGCAAGCCACAAGGACTGGGGACACGTGCTCTTCTTATTGGGTCAGGACTCTAGGCTCACCTGGGGGCGTGGATACATGGGGGAGAGAAGAATCGGCGTCTTTATCACCTTTATCTACCACGGTTGGCTCAAAGAAACCCACTCCAAGCTAAAATGAAATACAATCTCCCTTCTTTGTGGTTTATTTTTTTCAGGAAACCAGAACCTATGGCTCCCTTGGCAGTCTTTCAGGCAACATTCCTCTTGGTGTTGCTGCCCTTGAGAACTTACCAGAGCGGAGGTAAGAAGTGGAGAAAACAGTAATGAAAAAAATCACATAGAGAAAATGTGAGGTAATTGGTTGCTTTGGAGAAAAGTTGCACAATTCTTTGGAAATTGTGTGGAATTGGTGAGTAGCAGCGGTTACCTTAGTCATGACCTTCCTGATGCTGATGGCGTGTCTTAATAAGCCGCCTCTGACCCTGACCGCCTGGTCATGGGGGCATTTGTGAGTGGACCTAACCCTGCAGAACCTCATGGTTGAGGCACTGATCATGGCCATCACCAGAAGAGACCCTTCTGCGCCTTGTTGGGGAGACAAGGGGTGAACCAGCCCAGGGCTGGCCGCTGAGGTAGAACGGCAGTGCTGTCCCTCAGCGGTGTCCACGAGAGCTGTCAGCTGCAAGATCGTCCTGCTAAGCGCTGAAATGCTGATTGTGCATTTAAAAAAAAGTATTTGTCACTTAGCTACTACCCCAGTGAGGGTATTTTGAAATAATTAACTTTAGAAATAAGGTCAATAAGAATTCAATACTTCTAAAATGTTTACGGGTACTTTGATTACCCTTCGAACCAGTCTGAAGGTAGATTCTTAGACCTGAGCGAGTTTCCGTTGGTTTATAAGGTCTGCATTGCTTTCTCCTGTATTTTACAAAGCTTTACATTTGTCTGTGTTTGTGTTTACTTTTCTCTGTGCCCCTTTGTAAGAGAGAGGACAGGCGCAGCAGGCCTTCTGCAGTTCTACCAATTCCTGTCCGTGGAGACATGAAAATGACGTTGGCAAGAAATATCCATAGAATTTTTCAATTTTCCCTTCAAGCTCCATGAAAATATATTTCGAAATTTTAAAAAAAAGGAGATTTTTGTTCTGAGAATAGCTCAGTTTTCTGTCTGATATTCTTTAGGTCTGGGTTTATTTTTGTCAGGTTCCGGGCACGTGGGAAAATGCTACTTTTGTGGCTTGTTAAAAATCATAGTTTGGCCGTTAGTGTCTCCGTAACCGGAGCTGAAGGGTGGGAGCGAGGATTTCTCTGCAGCGTGCGTACGAACGTCTCAGCCTGACACAGGGGCCTGTGGCCGCCAGGCGCTCAGAACATCCCAGGCGGTCAACCAGGCTTTCGGCGCGGCTCACCCCCCGTGAAGTCTCACCATCCCACCCGCGGGCAGTTGGCCCTGTGCCTCCTCCCCAGCCACCAGACCTGCGCCCTGGGAGCAGGTCCCCCCACGCCTCCTCCAGACCAGACGCGCTCGCCTGGCTTCCCGCAGCCAGCCTGTGCCTGCGCCCGGCCTTCGCTGCGGGGAGGCCACTGTTGCGCTCACCTGCGCGGCTTGGATTTCTCCCCTCAGGGTCGGCTGCATCTGACCAAGTACTTACTAAACCTCCCCACTGAAACCAGCGATCCTCCCTCAGTGTCCCCCTGGGACACCTGAGGCTCAGGTGGGCGACACCATTTCCGATAAGCCAGCCTCTCCGACCAGGGACGCAGGGCCTGGGCGCACGCGATTAGCCGGGGCGCACGTCTCCATCAGCCGGAGACCGAGACCGTAGCCTCTGGATGTACTTCCTTCCAGTCTCTCTTGTGTATGTACATATAGACAGCAATAGAGATGTATTGTGTCGACTTTTTTGTAGAAGTGAAATTATACTAGATGTACTGGGAGTAGTTATATTTTAGTGTTTGTGTGTGTATATATATACTTATTACAGAGTATATAGTTATGATAAATATATACTTATTGAAGCACATATAGTATAAAGTATATATTACACATAGCATAAGTATATATACTGAGAAAACATACTATATACAGGATAGGCAAAGGAAGGCTTACAGTTCGTATGGAGAAATATATAACAACAATAAATAATAATATAAGGGTAAGCTTTCACGTACTCACAACTGTAAACCTACTTTTGCCCACCCCTGTATACTTTAATTTAGTATACATACTTTAATATATACTTATTGAGACAATTAATACAACATACAATGAGAGTTTTTAACTTTGATGTTAAATATTCTTCTAGAAATAACATTAGATGGCTGCCTTGTGTCCTGTTCCTACGAATGAATGAACCGTGGTTTATTTCCTTAAGCAGCATTGGGGCCAGACAGAGAAACTGGGCAGGAAGGTGCAAGGAGGGGCTGTGATTGACCCCAGGTCAGTCTGATTCCCAGGCCTGCCCTTCTGGCAACACTCCAGTGCAGTGTTATGGAAAGAACTGGGCCAAGCGCCAAGACCCTGGGTTCTGATCGAGTTGTGTGGTTTTGGGAAAGTCACTTCCTTTTTTTGAAACTCATCTGAAAAATAATGGGATTGGATTTAATAATCTCTAAGTTCCCTTTAGCGCTCTGGCTTCACCTTGGCCTTTCCCACTGTTTCCCAAGGAAGTCCTAGATTGCTTTTGAGCAAATTATTTTGGCTGGTCTCTCCAGTATTGGAGTCACTCCGCACTTGCTGATAGCATGTCAGTCGACGGACTTCCCCTTTCGTCCAAAGCATCATACAGTAGCTTTCTAGAGTTTCCAGAAATAAAGTTGATGCCGGTAGTTAACTCACTCATTCAGCAACCAGTCACTGCGTGTCTGCGCCGGGACAGGTGCGTTACTGGTCTTGGTTTCACCGAGCTGAGTAAGTCCGAGTCTCACCCTTGTTTAGCTCACAGGGTGTGGGGAGACAGCAGTCTGTGATGGGTGCTCAGTCGGGCTTAGCAAAGCCGCCACGGGGAAGGGCACATCGAGGGGTCAGTGAGGAGACGCCTGTCAGGCACTTGAGACCTCGTGGAAATCCTGGATCTCTGTAAGTTGAGATCAGCATGTGCTATAGGTAAGACCTTGTGCCAAGCGCTGGGGACAAGAGTTCATTCAAAATGCATAAACATCAACCTCTGTCCTTCAGGAAATTTGAATCTAAAGTGAGACCAACAACAACAAACAGGCAACATGAAACGAGGGCTCGGAAAGATGGGGTGATTTTGCGTGCTCTCTCTGGTGCCATTGGCTCCACAGTGATTAAAAGCATTTCCCCCCCAGTCCACAAGGGACCTTCTCCTTCATCTTTCCAAGTCTGATTTTAGTTAGAAAAATGAACGCTTAGAAGATGATACCAGGTGGCTGCCATACGCTTAGTCTTTTCAGTACCTTTGCACCATTCCCAGCTCACTCAGACCCCCTCGCAGCCGCCGGGGAAACGCGCCGAGTCAGCAGTGCAGTTCCTTCCCAGCCTGTGCGTCTCTCCCGCTCAGTGCGGACGGTGCTTTGTTTCTTCCCTAAGCGTTAGCAGGGACGGCACTCAGGCCACCGGGCCCATCCTCAGCCTGGGCTGTTTCCCACGCCCACTGACCCCTGCAGTCTGTTCCGTGGTCGAATCTCCGCTTCCACAGACTCTGTCACATCGCTAACCACTCTACACTTGCACTCTCTCATTTCATGAGTCAGTTGTGTCTCCAATAGGTTCCTTCCTTGAGCTAGGAACCTTGTCACGATTATTTTATTTCACACCAAATATCTAGCATGTTGCTAGTGCTGATCTCATCCAAAAAGTTCAGTGAATTCTTATTGGAGGTGTTTCAGTTCTGTGCATTGAAATGGGATGTGCTCCCACTTTATGGCTATCTAATAAACAATAAAATATTGTTTTAAAACAAACTTTCATTTTTGACTTCCAGAAATACGAGATTTATAGCGAAAAGTCCTGTTTCTTTATTCAGCCTTGCTGTGAATTTCTAAACCAGTTATATTATCCAGTAAAGTGTCCTTTACTATTTAATTGTTAAATAAATTGGCATCATTTAATTATTGTTTGCTCTTTGTATTGTTTGTTTCACTGTCAGTATGTGAACTTGCTGTGTATCGTTGAGCAAGTCATTTCATTCATCTGGGTTTAATTTCGTGTCTGTCAAGCGATTTCTGAATTCAGGTGTCTGACTCTAGGATGCACTTGTGAGCTATATTTTTCCAAGCTAAACAGCGATGATACGGAACGGTAATCATCTGTGGCTGTGTCATCCTATTAAGTGTTATTTCGTGTCTCATTTTGGTATTTCAGTCTTGTCCAAACCTTCGTCAGTGACCCCTGAACCTTTATCATTGACCCCTGAACCTTCGTCAGTGACCCCTGAACCTTCGTCACTGACCCCTGAATCATTGAAGGTTTCCATCAATTCCGCACAGCAGTGTCTGCATTTACAGTGGAGTGTCCGCAACCTTACCCAGCAGGAATTAAAGATGGTTTTTCAGATCGAAATCAGCAGAATTAAAACATCCAATGTCATCTGGGTGGTAAGTTGTTGTTGTTTACTTTCTATTTTAAAAGTCCTTTTCTGGTGCGATGATTTGTCCTTTATAACATACAGAAAATCCCAGTGTGGAAACATTTTAGCAGCTCAAAACGGTTTCCCTAAACAGTTGCATTTTTGTGTTTTTAGTGACGAGGGTCTGGGCAGAGGAACAGGACAAGCCTGGTCTGGCAGGTTGGATGGGACGCATTACTAGACCGTTTCTGCTGGGCCCCTGAGAAGGCCGTTTACTGGCTCTGTCCTTGTGAGCACTGGTTCCCCAGATCCACGAAGATCCACCATCTTCCTCCGCGTCTTTCTTCCTCCTGGTCCGCCAGAGATTCTCTTAACAAGACGCAGTAGTTTGGCAATGTTTTTCTCGCCAGTGTGGCTTCTCGCCAGTGTCTTTGCCTGCTCTGGGCTGAGAGCAGGAAGAATGGGCTCTCGTGTGTCCATGGCCTGGCCGGCAAAGCTCCTTCATGGACCCTGCTGGGGAGTCACTTACGGTGGCCTTTGTTGCGTCACAGGCGGCTTTTTCTATAACGAATGGGTTTTCCGTTGTCTTGGCTCCAGTCATGGTTGTATCTGTTTTGCCTGGTGCTTTTTCACCCAGTGCACTGGACACTCTGGTGGCTTCTTTCAATGATCATTTATGGTCTGGGAGCCTTAATAATCTATACACGGGTCCTGTTCATTCATTGTCACGGGATGTTGAGGGACAGTGGGATGTTTTCTCATTGAAGGGGAAGGGAGGAGCTGCCTGGAGGGAAGAGAGACAGGGATGTGTCATCCTGGGGACTTCTGTGTGCTCAGGGGAGGGCCACTCTTCTCTTGGCCCTGGAGGCTGCCTCCCAGGGGCCAGCGGTCCAGATGGTTAGCTCCTTCAGTAAAGCATGAAAGCCACTCATTTCAGAGCCTCCAGTTACCTGCCGCCTTCCCTCTTGCATTGGAGGTTAAGTGAGTGGCCTACGTCAAATGTGATTCTGACCCTGTGGATTTAGGGTTGATGGCAGGTGTGTAACCCCACCCCTCCAAGGGCGGCCCCCACAGTGAGCGTAGTGTAGCATCCTGATCTTAAACACGAGCAGCGTCTGTGGACGGCTGTTCACCTCCCGACACCCACACATTTTCCCTCACGTTAACAGTTTTTGTATCTTCATAATTTTTCGTATTTTTGATGAATACACTGTTTGTTGACTTGGACCTGGTAAAACATTGAGCACAGGTCATACTGAGGCAAAGAATTGTTTAAGAAAAAGAAATTTGAGAGAAGTGCAGAAGGAATTCGTAGAAAAGTAGCATTTAACGCTATTAGCGAAGGTGAGATTAAACACAGACCAAGGGAGCCCATTCTTCTTCTAAAAGGCAGTTCTTTCCATTACTATGTTGGAGAAAATAGTGACAGCTGTGGACCAAGTTGATTCCAGTCTTTATTTTTCTATCCGGTGGCCGTTCACATCTGTTTTCACCTTTGATTCTTGTACCAGCTCCATTTTCACAGTAAAAAACCTACTTCTACAACCTACTAGGGCTCGAGATCTTGGAGAGTCGAATTTTGCATTCTCTGTGGTATTGTCCACATAACGTCCCTCCCTCCCTACCCCCCAGAGAGGAGAAAACCAAGGCACAGAGAGGTTCGCTGGGCTGCCCCAGGGGGCAGAGTCAGGGCGCCCTCTGTCCTGTGCCCAGACAGGGATGGTGGCCACATGCAGCCTCCCTGGACCATCAGTGGCCACAGGTCCCAGGACAGATGATGCACAAGAAGCCCTCATCTGAACCTGTCAGGCCCGAAGCCGGGAGAGACATAAGTTCCCTCGGGGTAAGGGGGAGAGAGCCAGCTGAGAGAGGCCACTTTTGCCTGGACCCTAACCTCCCTCCCTTTCATGGGGCAGCTCCCTGTAATGTGACCTGACGGGGCCTCACTCATGCCAAGAAGGGCCAGCTTCTTTATCCAGATGCTTGCAGCTGGACCAGGGACCCAGACCCCATCCTGCACGCGGCCGGCCATTCAGATCCCTGCTGGCAGCTGCACTGCACAGTCTCCCCTGGCTGGGTTCTGCCCTTGGCCTGTCCAGCCACTTGCTCCCTGGTTCTGTCAATGGCAGGAGGAGGCAGAGCCAAGCAGCAGCAGCATGGAGGGGGCCTACGGGGGAGCCAGTTGGGGTGCGCTCCCACCCCACGGCCGCATCAGGGGCCTCCGCTAGACCCGTGTGACTCCGTGTGCCACTGTCCTGTGACTCACTGCGTCTGCCAGCGCAAATTAAACCTGCCACTTCAGTTCAGGAAAGCAGCCCAAACACAGTTCACCACATTAAAAGAAAAAAATCACCGAATTCAAGGAAAGTTTTATCTCCTCTTTCCAAGGCCGCAAACACCACAAAGCACAAGTTGCGGTCAGATGAAATCCACACGAGTGGCATCTGGGAGGACACAGCAGCTGCATGTTAATGAGACGAATGGGGAAGTCACTCCGCACAGGGTCCTGGCCCTGCTCAGTGCCCCCCAGTACCATGAGGATCTGCCTTCTCTACGGAGATCTGGCCAACCTGGTCTGACCCTGGCTAAAAATGAATATAAAAGCAACCTATCGATCTCACTTCCTATTAAAAGGATAACTCAGTTAATTCTCTGGTTGGCAAGAATTTTCTAGCAGGTCCTGTGTGACCAGCACTATGAGCACCTTCTAGCTCTGATCTCTTCCCCAAGACCTGAGTTGCTTCCATCTTCTCCCACTTGCTCCCCTTGAAGCCCCTGGAAGTGGAGGCCCAGAGCGGGGGAGCCGAGTTTCCGAGACCGGCGAGGCTCTGGCCAGGTCCTTGCTGGGACGTGGGAGCACAGGGACTGGCTGGGCAGGGCCGGCCGGCACTTGCTGCCTTGTGGCGCTGCGGCGGGCGAGTGCTCTGGGGTAGGTGGGGTCAGGCCATTCTCCAGGACAGCATGGCCGTGTTCTCAGGTCCTTCTCTCCGCTTCCAGGGGAGGTACAGCGCCACGGTGGAGCGGGGCCGGGCTCTGCACTGGAGCTGGGGGTCCGAGCTCCCCCTGGAATGTGCGGCGCACTTCGTAAGAATACGGGGTATGCTGGACGACACCACCCCCGGGCCGCCGTCCTGGAGCCGCTGGAGCTCGTGGGAGGAAGCAGATGGTAAGAAGTGATGAGAGAGTCAACGGGGTTAATACATAATACTGTTTGGGGATCAATAGTCAGATCGCGGGGGTCCCCTTTGAGGAACTCGGTAGACACCAACAGTCCTTTCCTTTGGCTCCCATTGGAAAGAAAAAGCTTGTGTGTGAGGCTTGAGGCTTGGCACCAGGAGATAGGCATCTGAGGTTTGACCTCTGAAACTATTCATTGAAATGATTCTGCAAATCCAGACAATTTTTATTTATTTTCCAAACGTGAAGCATATTTATTATGGAATGCTAAGTGAGCCAAGCAGGACACGAGCTATAATGTACGTTTTTACTAGAACAACACACACAATGTGTGTGCAGCTCTGCCCCTGTATTGTTGGATCAGTCAGAGGCAAGATGTAAATGAATGGTAGTGGTTGTGTTCCAATAAAACTTTATTTACAAAAACAGATGGTGGGCTGGCCTTGGCACCTTGGTTAGTTTGCCAGTGTCCCTAATGCAGAGAGAAGGGAGGGGCATATGCAAAAATAAAAGCAGTTCTTTGAGTAATGAGATTACGGATAGATATATTTTAAATCTTAATTTTGATAATTTAATTTTGCTGTAATTAAAATGTAGAGTGGGTGTGCCACCCTTTCTTATGCCTCAGCCAAGCTATAGGCCTCTTCTAAAACAACAGCATTTGGTTCTCGCAGCTGTACACCCTGCCAGGTTATCAGAAATTCCAGCCAATAGAACCGTTCCTTTGTTGAGTGTTTATGCCAGTTTATGAGCTCAGACTGATAACACAGTAACCCATGAGTGGCCCAGAGGTTAGTTTAATACTAAATAATAAAATCTACATTTAGTCACTGTTTTAAGTACTATACATATTAACTTAGCCTTCACATCTGCCCAATGAGATACGTAGTATTCACAGGTGAGGAAACCGAGTCACAAATAGGTTCAACAACCCAGGCAAGGTCATCGGGCCACGAAGGATGTGGCCAGAATTGCAGCCCACACAACCTAGCCCTGGAGGCCACTGCATCCTAGTGCCGAAGGAGGGACAGGCTCACAGATAAAACAGATTAAAAAGAGAGTACCGAGGAAGAAAGAACAACTGTATAAACAACCTGTCTATTTTATAAAATCAACTACATTTCTCAAAACTGTCATCTCCAAACTAAAGAGTAGATGGAAAACCGGGTTATTCCTAACCCCCAAACACTGGACCCCAACCACGGTCACCCATCAGAATTGCCTGGGGACCTTAAAGGAAGCCCCAGGCCGGTCGTTCTGCGTGGCGATGGCAGTTTAGTGACTCGCTGGGTCAGCAGCGGGACTGCGGCGGGCGCGGGAGGGGTGATGAAGCCTGAGCAGCGGGGGGATCTTCAGGGAGGCGGGCAGAGAGGCGGCACGGCTGGGAGGACAGGCTGGGTTGCTTAACAAGGGGGAGACGTGAGGGTTTTATACGCGGGTGGCCAGGGGGGACGCTGACGCACCAGGAGACGCCTGAGCGGCTGGCATGTCTGAGGCGGCGGGCGGGGCTGTGGTCAAGGGCTTGGTCTACAGCACAGTTCAGAGCTTACGCAGGACACGCGGCCTGGACCTGCCGCACCTAGCGAGTGTGCCTGTGGCTTTGCCACCTGAGTGAGCTCGGCCTCAGTCCTACCTGTCCCGTTGCCGTGAGGGGCTGGGACGACCTGAGATGATGGACATCCACCTCAGACAGGGCCACGGTCACCTGGCCCCAGCGGTGATGCAACAGCAGTCGGAGCGGCAGTGCTAGGCCCAGCAGGAGCGGCGGGGCGGACTGTTCTGCGCACCCAGGTTCACGGGGTTGCCGCAGGCGCCCAGGCTCCTTTCTCCAGGAGGCGGGAGGAGCCAGGTCCCCGCTGAGAGCGGCCGGGAGGGGCCGGGCTGAACCGAGCGGCTTCTAACTGCCATGTCTCTCCTTGTCCCGTAGGGCGGGATTCGCTTGGACAAGGCTCACTGTTCCTTTTCCCTAAAGATAAGCTGGTGGAGGAAGGCTCCAATGTCACCGTCTGCTACGTTGCCAGGACCCAGCAGAATAACATATCCTGTATCTTGGAAGGGGTGCTGATCCAAGGGAAACGACTTGCTCCGGACGTGTCCGTATTTACCCTGAACAGCGTCCCCTTCATTAGGGACACGGGGACCAACATGTATTGTGAGGCGAACACCATGAACACCACGAACACCACGAATACCACGAACACCACGAACACCACGATCATAGGGGGCATCGTCCTCTTTGTCGCAAGTAAGCGTGTGGCCCTCGGCGCCCTCCCGCCATCTCCTGAGGACCAGATGGTGTCCTTCGCCAGGCACCAGGTGGCATTTCCACTCACGGTGGCAGTTTTCTCGGCCTCCCGAGACTCCTAGGAGAGGCTGCGGAAAACATCCCCGGGGCAGTCCTGGCAGGATGTCCTGTGTTTCCCTGTCCTTGCTGAGAATTTTATGCTTAGAGACCAAGAGTATAAAGGGGAGAAAGTTCAGGTCATGCCCTGGAAACACCCCGTGCTGGGGTGGGCACAGGGTTGCAGGGAGGGTGGCGCTGCAGGTCGGGGCCCCGGAGAGGCAGCCGGGGATGGGGGGTGGGGGGCCGGGCGCCTGGTTGGCGAGTCCGTGCTGGGCGCCTCTTGGCCCACTTCCCCGGCCTCTCCGAGCTGGGTTCTGCCTCTGGGGAAGGGGGACAGTGACGGCTGTTATGAGGGTCAGTGAATGTGGACAGAGCCTGGCCCTGCGTAGGAGCTTCGCAAATGACACCATAACCTCCATTGGTGGCGGCAGTGGAGAGAAATGGAACAGTTCATGTTTATTTTTTTTTAATTCTTGCCGGAGGACATGTTTTTATTGATTTTTGAGAGAGAGAGACATCAATCGCCTGCCTTCCGCATGCACCCCAACCAGGCAGGGCTCGAACCCGCAACCTGAGCATGTGCCCTGACCTGGAATTGAACCCGCGACCTTTTGGTTTAAGGGACGATGCCCCAACCACTGAGCCACACTGGCCAGGGCCACTATGTTCTGTCTTGAGAGGGCCCTTCCCTGCACATTGGGGCAAAACCTGCAACTCTGCCCTCACTGCCTCCCTGACAAAGGGCATCTCCAAGCTCCCGGACCCTTGGTTTGTGCTCGGCATGGCCTAGGGACAGCAGTGACTCGGGGACTTGGAGGTCTGCACCGTTCCTCGGAACTCTCAGCTCTCGGCTGCTGAATGTAGCAGGCTCCCCGGTCTGGCCGACTTCCCGGCCTCCCACACGTAATCCCCAGGCTCGCCGGCAGCCACGGCGTCGGGAGTGAGACACCAGGAAATGCTGACCTCACTCTCCTTCACGCCCCTGGCCTGTTACCGAGCGACGCCGTGGAGCGCCCACCAGCAGGCACTGGGCACACACTTCCCTCAGACACACGCAGCGCCGACCTCGTGCAGAACTCCCGCCACCGTTCCCGCGATCCCCCGCAAAGCACAAGGGAAGGGAGGACGGGCCAGGACAGTGACTTCCTGGAGCTGCCAGCGTGTGAATGCAAAGCATCCGTTTAAGGGATCCTCTGATCGTTCACAGTCACTCTGTGGCCTCAGACCCCTGGCAGAGCTTTCCATTCTGTTTGTCTTTGATTTAACTGGATCTTTCATTTGTATTTTCTTTGTACAAACAGAAGTGCTTGAGGAGCCCAAGGACTTTTCTTGTGAGACTCGGGACTTCAAGACTTTGGACTGTACCTGGGAGCCTGGGAGTAACACTGACCTACCTAAATATTCTTCCCAACGTTACACTTTATTTGAATCGTAAGTGAGCTCTGGTTACATTACTGACAGATTCTTCCTCGTCTGAGGAGCTTGGTATCAGGAGGAGATCTTAGCGGGTCACTGTGCACAGCACTTCCTACCTGGGTATCATTAAAGGCAAATAAAGCCTAAAAATTACAAGACAGACCATGAATGGTTAATCTCAGTGTGAAAATACTTCCATCCTTTTAAATAAATAGTTCCATCTGAGTGTACCTAATTGCTGACTTTTTAAGAATATCCAAAGTAAATGAAGGAGCGTTCTCACCACCTACAAGGGGGAGCCGTTGACTCATGGTTCCATATTTAACCACATAAATCAAACTTGTTGAAACAGTATTTTCGTCATTGGTGTTTGTTGGTGATGGATGGAGGCTCTTGTGTGGAATGCAGTTTTCAAGCCACTGAGTGTCCCTGAGGGAGACAGGGACACACATCTGCACTGACAAAAGTGTAAACCCTGAAATTGATTTTTTGTTCTTAAGATTTTCTGGGAAAAAGAAATTCTGTGAACACAAAAACTCGTGTACTTGGCAAGTAGCTCCAGACTCACAAGAAATGTATAACTTCACACTCGTGGCTGAAAACCACTTCAGGAAGAGGAGTGTCAATTTGCTTTTTAACCTGGCACATCGAGGTAAGACCAGAGTTGCAGCCGTATCTTTGTTTGACACACTGGGGGACCAGGTGACTGTGCTGCAGGCTTAGGCCCAATTCACATCCCAAGTGAAAGTTACAGTTTATAGTCTTGCTCATGCCACCTCTCTTCACGGATATAGGTGTGGCCCAAGGCCCCCATTGTTTGTGTGTTCTGATCATGTAATAAGCACCCAGGAGCTTACTACTCAACTCCACAACGAGAACTGTGACAGTAACTTATTCCATGTCAGTTCAGTAATACTTCTAATTCTGGTCTCCTGTTTTGGTTAGACTCTGGGTTCTGTTATATTCTCCCCATGGGCCGCTTCTTCAAGTTCAGACACCCCTCCACAGTCTGCCTGATTTATTTAATTTTAAGAGTCCTCAGGTGGTTTCCTTTTGTATTTCATTCAGTTTCTAATATAATCAGTGAGGGAGGCTGTAGTTGGCTTATTCCATCCTGGCTGTAAAGTCTGGTTTTGTTTGCCATTTTCTCAAAAATAAACAAAAAATACTCATTGAATAAATAAATGAGGAAATGAACTGCTTATTTACCAAAGCCTTTTGGATCTATGCTTGAATTTTTTTACTCTGTATCATTATTATTATTATTTTGGCAGTTCATCCAATGACTCCCTATAATGTATTCCTGAAGAGTGTAAGGGCCACGAATGCCACCGTGACCTGGAAGGTGCACTCCGTTGGGAATTATTCCACATTTTTGTGTCAGGTTGAACTCCATGGTGAAGGAAAAGTGATACAAGTAAGGACACTGCTTCATATTCTATTTTCAAAAACCCCTTTATGTGCTGAACAGAGAGACTGAGGAATCAGATCTCTCTGAGCTCTTATTTCTGTGTGGGTTCAAATGGTGCGGGTTTTAAGGGTTGAAAAAGGTCCATGAAATTCATCGTAGACTTTCAGAGTTGGGAAGGGGGCCTTAGAGGTCTTTCCCCAGATCAGGGTGTGCCGCGTTGTGGTTTAGCTTTGCAGGGAGAACGCTCACCGACACCTCTGTCTTTTTTATCGAGCAGCACAATGTTTCCGTCAGGGAGAGTGGCGAGTACCTCTTCAGTGACCTGGAACCCGCCGCCGAGTATGTGGCCCGGATGCGCTGCGCTGCCGCCAACCACTTCTGGAAATGGAGCGGCTGGACCGGGCAGAACTTCAGCACACTGGAGGCTGGTACGTTCAGATCCCTGGGGTTTAACGCAGGGACCTACACTGACTCACGGGATGGGCTGGCTTCCCTGAGAGCTCCTGGTTGTACCAAAAACTAAGGGGAAAATATTCCAAAAGAGGCCAGGTGCCATCTTTAAAAATAAAAAACACACCTGAATTAAGTGGCGAACGAGATGTGCGCGGGGAGACTTCCACTTCGAACATTTGCCGTCAGTGTTATTTCTACTCTGTATTTTCTCTCTGGTCATTGTTTCTGCCAACGTGGTTTCTGAGCTACAGGCACTGCTGGGTTCCGGCTGGGGGTGGGCCTCTGTAAATCAGTACAGACTTTTCGTTCAGGACCCGGGACAAACACGGTGTCCCTGCCAAGGAGAGCATTGGTCTCATGCCAAACAACTCTAGGCCACGCTTGGACGTGTAATGATATTTGGAAACTTAATTATTACTGATAAACCATTTGTTCAGCAATGGCAAACTGTGAGCGTCTCTATCATGCCCTCGGGGTTGTTTCCTCAACATTCCAGAACAGCTTTTCCCCCAAATAACCACGTCTTAGAGCTCAAACAGGCCTCAGCAGGTTAGGTGTCTTGAAGAGAATGAAGTACAACCACTGCCCAGTTTACTGATGAAGCAACTTGGGCCCATAGATAGAAGAGACTTGCCTAATTTGCAAAGTTAATGAATGGCAGAGATGATGATGATTAATAATAATAATAATAATAATAATAATAATAATAATAGTGGCTGACATTCATTGAGTCTGTGGTACGTGCCAGGCACAGCTCAAAGCGCTAACAGTGTTTTTCTCTTTTAACCCTCACAACTCGCGGTCAGCAGTATGACCCCGCTTTATAGAGCAGGACACTGAGGCACAGAGGACAGTAACTAACTGGCCCACGAGGAGGTGGCCCTGTGACTGCAGAGCCCCGCCCTGACCCAGAGCCAGCTCCTGCACGGTCCGTCTCCCGCTGCTGTTATTACAACCTTGAGGTCTTGTTAATTCAGGTCCCGGCTACTTTAGGGCCAGAGGAGGGATTAGATGTATTGATGTTAGTCCATCTTACTGTTGGTGCCTGGAGTCAGGCAGAGAGCTCTGTTTCTCCTGAGGACGACTGTAAAGCAGTGACTGAGTGGGGGGTGGGGACGGCACTCGTCAGAATCTACACTCGGGTCGGTCACTGGTCACGCTCAGCGGCCTCCCGCTTTGTCTGGTGCTCCTGCCCACCCTGCCCACCCTCACACCCCCGGAGACCCCAGGAATTTTTCCTAGGTGTGTCGATCCCTCCAAGGTTCACCTCGCTGCAGAAAGGCCCGTTCTGGACAATGTCTACTTGAATGAGACTGTTTTGCTTTGGGTTTTCTTTTGCAAATTTATTCCCATGTTATAATTAAATTTAAGTGCAAAAGGAAAATGGCAAAAGGATACAATTTTTAGTAAACTCTGTATCTTTTAGTGTATAGTCTAATAAACTGGAAAATACTTAGCTTTTGATGATGACAAGAAATTAAATGGACCCACTGATGATGACTTTATCATTTGTTTTTAACCTTCTATGTAGCACTTTGGTAAATGCTGGAAAACCCAGTGTTTGTGTGCGTGCGTTATAATCACACTTCAGTATAATCACAGGAAGCAGAGTTCAGCGACACCAGGGTAGAAACGACATCGAAACAAATGTGGGACACTGTTAACTGTGCTACTGGGGTCGCCTTACAAACACTAATTTACAAACCAGCTAGGACTTTGCGTTGAACTTGGGGTCTCACGTTGGGCCCTGAGTATTTCAATACGTTTTTTGTTTAATGTTGGCTTCTCCCAGGGCTCCTTTAGCAAAATAAATCTGCGTCAATAGATTTGAAAAATATACGATCACCTTCAAGTAGATGGGGAAGCATCTAAAAGGAAAAAAGGACTTTCTTAAATCTCAGTGGTCGGGGACACTAAACCGTATTTTTATAGAACGTAGAACTAAATCGTCGTGTTAGGTTCCAAGACGATTCTTGCCTAGAGATGTTTCGAATCAAGGGACAGATCAGTTGCCCTACAGTTTACTGCCGAGAAAGACAAAGACGCAAACTCTCCCGACAGTGTGGTGAGGGCCGTGCAGGGCACAGTGCAGAGGGGCCCTGAGTGTCCACAGGCAGGTGACCAGGCTCAGGGGGGTGTGGCCTTCCCAGCAGAGGGGGAAGGAGGGGTTCCCAGGCTGCGACTCCAGCGTAGGGCAGCCATGTGAAATCTTGAACCCGGAGAAGCGCAGGCTGCCCAGGACTGTCCGTGTGAGCACATCCACCGCGGCCTCCTTAGATGGGGCGAGGAAGCAGCAACAGTCTGATGCTCCTGGGGATTCAAATGGTGGGAATTTACCTAAATGACCTCCTAGAATTGGTCTAAGTAACTGACAAAATTATTCCAACATTGTTTGGTGGCTTCCAGAAGCTCTGAGGTTTGATGTTCATGAAGGGCTTTCGGTGTGACGTCCCGTTCAGAGGCAGTAGACCTTCTGTAAAGCACCTACTCTGTGCGTCTAGTGAGGCATGAACAGGGTGGCTATAGAAAGTGAGAAGCAAGCCTCGAGGATATTCGTCATCGTCACTTTGTTGGCCAGATGGGAAGCTGGAATGTATTGTTCTACATACATATCGTGACCCAGGGGCTTTTCTCGGTTCATTTCAGCTCCCTCCGAGGCTCCTGACATCTGGAGAAGCGTGGAGTCAATGCCGGGATCTTGTAATGTCACTTTATTCTGGAAGGTAAGACGCACAGGCTCCAGGAGACAGGTTTGTTTGGCACCGTCCGTCGCTGTGAAATGAACTGTACATCGGTGCAGTCTTCAGGGCAGGGACCCGAGGGAGGGACCATCCTGTGACTGCAGCAGGATGTCCCACCGGTGGAGGACTCGCCACTCCACATCCACGCGGCTAATGCTCGCACTGCTCCTTCCTTGACCGCCCGCTGCGCGGACAGCCATTCTCATTGTGAGAACCCACCTCTCTGTAACCTCTACTCGGGCCCCTCTAACTTTTGCAGGGCCCAGGGCACGGGGGTTACCTGACTTTGTCAGCTCTTGAGTCTCAACGTTGCAGAAATGAGCACTGCACTCAGTACCAGGTCGAGCGGCGAGTCTATGGAAAAGAGCCGTGTGCAAGGGAGTTGACCAGAAAAGAAGGGCTGAGCTCCCCGAGGGAGCTTACACAGGGGCCTTGGGGAGGGTGCGGGGCTTGAGAGGAAGATGAGGTCGGCGGGCCCTACATCGCCACCTGGTGGCGGCTGAGCCCGGTGGCCACAGGACGTTTGCCACGCTCAGGGGGCCACCCGAAGGGCCTGTAAAATAATGCTCGTGCACACTTTCTAGTTTCCATTTACTTGACAAAGCAACTACTGTGCAGAACATGCTGTTAAGGAAGGATGTTGTGCACACTCTTCCCTTAAGGATGCGGCTGGGTAATATCAGCTCCGGAATTTTACTGGAAGCAAGGAATTGCGGTCAGACCTCCCAGATGGAGTGTTCTCGGCCAAGGTGGGGTCCAGCGTTACCCCAAAACTGACTCATGAGGACAGCTGGAGAAGCACATTTATAACCATATTTAAAAGTTGTGATTATTTGAAGAGTCACAGTATTTATGTTTAAAAGTTACGAATCAAGCTAAAAAAAAAACCTGTAATATAATCTATATGGTGTCCTTTGATCTTGGTGAATGTGTCTTCACGGCCACCTGGAAGGCCAGGTTTGCGCTCAAGTCTCAAGGCCTTAGCGTCTGATACCAGGACGTGGCCCTGCTGGGAGAGTTGGCCCCCTGCCACTACCCAGCCCGCTTTCTTCCCACCTCCACTCCGGCCCCTCCGAGACGAGCCCTGTGCACACACGTGTGGACACGCCAGTCCGTGTGTCCATGCTCTGTCCACACCTCACATAAACAGCCATTCCCAGCCCATTCTCAGGTCTTGGGGCACCATCTGTCCTTGGGGTGGGGTCCAGGCCTATTGCTTGGGAGAGTAGGCCTGAGGGATAGGCCCTAGGACAGGGCGTGAGAGTAAGTGAAGAGGGAATTCACTGCAACCTGGAGAATCGTCTAGGAGGGGCACCGTGGGCTCTGGGTAAGGGGGGTGCACAGCTGGCAGGGGGTGAGGACAGGAGGTGGGCCCTCTGCTAGTGTTCACAGATGGCTTCTCCCCCTGGTATCCACTCAGCCTTTTTAAAATCCTGGCTAGCAGTCCCCTGTTCTCTTGATTCCTGACTCGGTCACTGTTCTGTAGACACATTAGGGGAGCTCAGCCCTCAGGAGCCTATTCTCTTCTCAGCCTTCAGGAGACAGCCTGGTGTCAAGCTGGGTTTAGAAGGCTATTCTGTCCAGTAAACTGATTTAATTAGCTGGTGTGTGTGGGCATTTGAGGGACAGAAGGTGAAGTAATGGTGCAAACTCCTTTCAGAGAAAAGCCCATTTTCAAATGATTATCAACACTTTTTTCAGCCACTATCAAAAGCGCACGCCCATGGGAAGATTCTGAACTATAACGTAGTTACAGAGAAGCTGAACACACCGTCCAGTTTGAAGCTCGTTTCCATCCCTGCTCCGGCCAATGGCACAGAACTGACCCTTGACGGGTGTTCCTACCAAATCCAAGTGACAGCCAGCAACACCGCGGGCACCTCTCCTGCTTCCGTGATTGTCATCTCCGGGGACCCTGGGCATGGTGAGTGGCCTGGATTCTCTGGGAGCACGCTGATGTGATTAGGTGGAGACGGGGGAGCTGGGAAGACCGGGACCTGGGAGGCAGACGTCCAGCTGCCACAGTGCTAGCCCTTTGCCTTTGGCCCAGGCATGTCCGTGGGGTCCCCAGGACATCCCCCTGCACGTGGGGAGCGAGATTTCAGCCATCGCTCAGTGCATTCCTGCCCTGGTGATTCTTCAACAAACTGGGAAAGTTATCTCAGATTCACTGAAATAAAAGCAACACCAACGAACAGTCTTAACCGAGAGTAGGCGTTGGTGTAAGTGTGGTTCGTGGCTATGAAATATGAGTTGCACGTATTACATTGTAAACTATGTTGTCAGTCTTGGCCACCTGTAGAGAGCCCATGAACGTTTCCAGAGATCAGGAGGACTAGTATCATCCTTCCAGGGGGTTTGCCACGGCTGTAGAATATAACATGGTGACTGGCTAGTCCCTGGGCCTGTGAAAAGAGCAGATGAGGTGGGAATGGCCGTGCACGTAAAATCAGCGGTGATATTAATTTCCTTCTTGGGGAGCTGTGAGAGGAGATTGAACACTCTAAATCCCCACAGTGACCCACTGAGACAGTGCACGCTTGAACGTAACACAGCTGACACTCCAAGGTCATTCATGGACCTTGCGATAATGTCACCCTTCAGTTACAGCTATTAAATTTTTCAGACCCTGCTTACGGGGTTAGATCAGATGGTCTTACACCTGTCATTCATGTTGGGCTGAAATTTGGGTTAAGTGGGCTAGGTTAGAGGGTGGTGGCGTTTTGTTTTAATTTTAAGAACTATGCATTACGTCAAGTAAGAAAAAGAAATTCGGATTGTGGCAGGGGAGAGAAACCAAGGAGCTATTTCACATAACCTGTGCTTGTCAACAGCAGTACCTAGAGAAGGAGTGAACGGTTGTGTCTGTCTTCGTAGGACCAGGACAGAAAAAGCGGGCATTTCGTTCTCCCCGGGGGAGCCGGAAGAGGAACGGTTGCCTCGTATGAGGCTCAGCCCCAGCACTGCTGAGCACTATTGTGTTTTGGGGTTCCTACCGTGCCCTCCTTCCCCGTGCCGCCTTCAGACCCCTTTGCCCCCGTGAGGCCCTACCCAGCCCTCCCTGAGTGTTCACGTTCTTAAGTCTCTAGAGTGGATTGACAGACGTGCGATGAGACAGACCAGGGAGGAGACGCCAGTTTACACCTCTGCCTCCACTCCTCAGAACACATTTGCAGTTTTAAAGCAGCAGCTTGATAAGAGTTATGATTCTAAGGTCAGGGTGAAACTTCAGCGTGAATGAGTGAATTGAAAAATGTTGCTTCGATGTGAAAGAGATTTGTTTCTTGCCGTAGGAAGAGAGGGAAGCCCTGGTGGTAGGGCACACAGAGGCCTTGGGGAGCCCTCTGCCTTATACCCAGGGCCACACGTTCCTTTGGGCGCCCCAGCGGGCTAGTCATGTGGTGCCCTGGCGAAGCTAACACGCTTCCCCAGGATGCTCCGCGGTGAGTAGGGCCCCCAGGTAAATCTGAGCTGCAGATAAACAGAGTGATTTTCGTGTCCGTCTGTACTATGCAATACTTGGTCCTCGATGACTGATTTTCTGGGCAGCTGCTTGCAGGCTCACTCTTTGACCAGGGCCTGCTTCCACTCGGGGGACCAGCTGAGACCACTGCCCAGGGAATGGCGGCAGGATGTGCAGTCGGCCTTGGGAAAGAGGAGGCTTTCTCGCCCTCAAGATGTAGGGTGACCCCGCTTTAAGTCAGTAGCAATGGCAGCCCATTGAGACCATGTCACCAGTTTTCCAATCGTTAGACCTCAGGAAAACCACCCTGGCACGTAACATACGCCGAGGTGGCAGCCTTGCCGTACGTAGCATGCACATCCTTGCGTAATGCGACAGAACATACCCGAATTGTCCTTTCCCTTGTCCTCACTTCAGTTTCTACCCCAAATGCCTGATAAACGGTAGGTGGCTCAGGAGCAGCCAGAGTTAAATGGGACGAATTCAGATCAATTAGTCGTTCGTTGCACAGATACCGCTGAAAGCAGCCGGGGCACCAGATGTGGTTCTAGGTCAAGGGGCAGATAGTATTTTAGGCTTTGCAGGTCATCCAGCTTTCGTGATATATTACTCAATGTTTTTCATCTGTTTGGTTTTTTGTAACTCTTCGAGAATCTTAAAACCATTCTTAGCTCAAGAGTCATCCACAAGCCTGGGAGGCTGGGCTTGTCCGGCAGGCGGTCGTTTGCTGACCGGTGTTAGGTACTGAAGTCTGGCTGCGTCTCAGGAGGTCAGGACAAGGGGCATCTGAAGGGCAGGTGTGAGTATTTGCTGGGAAGCGAGAGGCAGGAACACACCTATGAAAACACTCCACCTCCCCCTTCCCTAGGCTCCTGTAGCAAATGAAGTCCCGGGGCTCTTACAGTCCCAGGGCTGTTGGACACACTGCATGTTCAAGCTTACTTTCTTCTTTACGTACTTTTACAAAATGTTTGATGAGTTAAATCTGAAACATGGCCTTGTTTGTAATGCACAGAAGAGGTTGCAGAAGAAAGAGTTGAGGGCACAGAGGATGGAGTCCCTTTGTCTTGGAAACCGCCATCTGGAGATGTCATAGGCTACGTTGTGGACTGGTGTGACCGTCCCCGGGACTCACCCTGTGATCTGCAGTGGAAACACCTGGGCCCCAATACCACAAGCACAGTCATTAACTCAGGTGAGAAGAACCTTCCATACTACCATCTTGTCCCAGCCACCTTCTAGCACGCTCAGCAACGCTGTCTGAACCATCCTGAAGACGCTCTGTGATAAACCCATAATCTTGGAATTACCAATCCAGCTTGAGTGCTAGGATTTCAAATTTTGCAGGCCTGACATTTGACTTTACATCTGCTTTGACAGAGAATATAGAGGCCTAAGGCTGGGATAAGTTTCCATCATTTTCACGAGTTTGTTCCTCTAAATTAGTGGTCTTGGGCGAATGGCAGCGGGACATTCTAACGGTTGTCCGGAGAGCTTTCACAAAAGCAAAGGAGTGTGTGGATTTGGGAGACGTTCCGGACAGTGTTGACGGGCGTCAGTCATCTGCTCCTTCAACTTGAATGGAACATGTAGAACTTGACCCCTTTCCCCCCACACTGGGTTTGTAATTTCGAGATTGCTGTGTTAGCTCAATCAAAGGAGCCTGGCTTGTGGCTTGAGCAGCGGTTGGTGGCGCCACCTGCTGGACTCAAGATAAAACGTGGGAACTGTCTGGGTCCAGAGGGTGATAGAGGCCCCTGGAGGGCATTCCTTAGCCCTGGCAGTGTGAGGAGGGGAGGTTCCTGCAGGACTGCAGAGGTGGGTGTGAGGGGACAGCGAGGGAGTGGAAGCAGAGCCCTCCAGCCGCTTGGCCTTCCTGGGCGAGAGAAGGAAGGTGGCTGGAGGGGCTTTGGAGTCAGAGGAGAGTTGATCATGGTTTTCTGTCTGGTCAGTTCTGCACCCAGTTTCACACACATGGCTAAGGGCATATTTAAGAGCTTTTCTTCCAGGGGATGTGGTGAGCAGTCCCCACGGCTTCGTCGGGAACGATGGAGGACTCCAGGCTCAACGGAAGGGGGGCAGACGGTGGAGACGAGGGGCAGCAACCCCGAGAAGGAAATTAAGGGGACACAAATCCACTTTCCCTTCTTTTCCTTTCCAGAAGTAAAGAGAAGGTCATTCTGTGTTATTATTGAAAATCTTGATGTTTCTTCTCTAGATGCTTTCAGACCAGGAGTCCGATACAACTTCAGGATTTATGGAATTTCTCCAGAAAGGATGGCTCATTTATTGGAGCGGAAAACAGGATACTCCCAGGAACTGGGTGAGTTGAAAGCCTTGCTCAGAACAGTCCAGAGGCTCAGCTTGGGGTGTAGGAAGATTTCAGCACCATTCCTAATTTTCAGTGTCCTGTTTATTCTGGTAATTGGCTTTTTAAAAAATTGTTTTTGAATCATACTAACATAAAACATTTTCAGTGAACACAGTTTATAAATCTTACGCAGAAGACAGAGTCATCGCTGATTTTATCATCAGAGGCAAACCCCAAAATACCCAGAGTTGGTACTTCCATGTACAGATAGACATTTTCAATAAACAGGCTCCTGCTCTACTCAGGCTGACTCACATCATTAAATGTTACTTCACTGTATCATTTTTATGATCGCAGAGTGCCTCATTCTTTGAATATGTCACATCACCTATTTGGGACATTTAGGATGATTATAGTGATTCTCAACTGAAAACTATAAAATTCACCTTCAGGTAGCGTACAATCCCAAATGCTCAATCTCTTTTTTCTTTGCCCGCATCTCCCTGTGCCCTGCCTGAATCACCATCATTTTAGCTACATCGTTGTCAATATCCACAATAATGGCTTTTAAATGAAGTCCTAAAGGTGGAATTCTTCCGTCAAAAGATTAGAGCTCCTTAAATTGTTTTTCATTTCCTGTGCAACATTTAGGACTTTTGATCCATGTTGTGAAATCACCCCCAGAAATTTTACCACGATTCACCCTCTTGGCATCCACGGTCCCACATCTGCTGGACGCCGGGCGCCCCGGCCCTGCCTGCCTTGCACTGGTCAGATGGGCCCTCTGAGGGGCGTTCTCCATCTGGAGGCAGCTGCCCGAGACGGCAGGAGGTGTGTGCTGGGGTGTCGATGAGCACAGACCCAGCGTGCACAAGAGTATGTGATGAAACAGGCTCAGAAAGAGGCTTGGATGACTCTGTATCACTTTAGCCTGGGAACAAGAGTCCTTCAGATCCACCCTGACCTCTCCGAACATGACCCTTCCCCCTCCTTCCCCTGCCCCCACCTCAGGTCAGGTCTTCTCTCAGACACTACAGTTGACCCTTGAATGACACAAGGGTCAGGAGTGCCAACCCCCCCCCACACGCACACACACAGTTGAAAATCTGAGTATAACTTTCGACTTCCCCCAGGCTTGACTATAGTTGTCCCTCAGTATCTGCGGGAGATTGTCCCGGGACCCCTGCAGATACTAAGACCCAGGGAGGCTCCAGTCCCTTACATAAAATGGCGTAGAAGGGTGCTTACAGTCGTCACTCCACAGCTGTGCGTTGAACCAACCACGGTCAAACACTTTTTTGATTTTTGCTTGGAAGGAGTCTGCGATTGAGAAACCCAGGGATACGGAGGCCTGACTAAATATTTACCGGGAAAACTCCTCACCTAAGGAGACCCACACAGTCCAAACCCATTGTTCAAGGGGCACCTGCATTCAGACTCAGGAACAGGAGGGGTCTAAGAGCCGTTGCTGTCTGGCCGTGGGGCCTTGTGTAAGCCACTGGGTCTCTCTGGGCACCGGTTTCTACATCTGTGAAAGGCGAGGCTTAACAGGAAGGCTGCTCGACTTCTCCCCAGCTCTCCCGGGCTACGCGGGAGGCACAAATCTTCCAGAGAGAGACAAGCCCTTTGCTGGGCCCCAGACAACCCCCGCCGGAGCTGGCCGTGGTGCCCCTCGGTCTCCACGGGCGCTCAGAGACTAGTTCCCAATCGTGACTCTTCTCACCCACTTCCTCCCCAGCCCCTGTGGACACCCCCCGAGCGGCCGTAAGCAACCTGACATCCCACTCCTTCACGCTGAGCTGGACGGGCTACCCCGCCGACGCCCAGCCCGGCTTCATCCGCGGGTACAGCCTCTACCTGAGGTCCAAGGCGGAGCAGTGCCACCCGGGGTTCAAAAAGGCTGCCGTTTCAGGTGACAGGTTTTTGTTTGTTTACCCCTTGTACGGCCTCATTACTCGACCTCACGGGACAGGCTGCCACCTGTGACCGGGTCCTGCTGAATTCTACTCGCGTGGTTTTGTATCATGCGGGTTCTTCATCGAGTCAGTAGGTGGACGGGGGTCGGTATTTTAACTTAAAAAGCCTTGTGGCCGGGTATTTTTAGAAGCACTCGAAGTCCCACCATCTCCTTAAGAAAACCTGCCACTGAGGAAACTTCCTTGCTAATCAATCCCTTTCTCTTTTTCCCTTTGACCTTGTTAAAGGTTATTACAATGTTGTTGTATTTTTAATTTCTCAATTACAGTTCACGTTCAGTGTTGTTTATATTAGTGTACGGTGCACAGCGCCGTGGTTAGACATTTATGTAATTTACGAAGTGGCCCCCTGATCCTTCAGGTCCCCACCACACACAGTTATTACAACATTATTGACCGTATTCCCCGTGCTGTACTTTGCATCCTGGTGACGATCTGTAACTGCTGCTCTGTACTTGTCAATCCCTTCCCCTTTTTCACCCTGCCCCCCCCTTCCCCTCTGGCAGCCATCACTTTGTTCTCTGCCTCGGTGAGATGTATTCTTTTGTTTTAATATTTTTTCCATTGATTTTTAGGAGAGGAAGGGAGGGGGGGAGAGAGAAACATCAATGTGAGAGAGACACATCAATTGGTTGCCTCCCACAGGTGCCCTGACTGGGGCCGGGGATCAGGCCTGCAACCCAGGTACGTGCCCTTGACTGGAAATTGAACCCATGACCCTTTCTTTGATGCTCCGGCCGATGCTCTAACCACTGAGTCACACTGGCCAGGGCTATGAGATGTATTTCTGTCTCTCGCAGGCTCTTGCCACCTTTTACAGAGCTGCAAGCTCTCCCCAGGCTGCCAACATCTCTTGCTTGGTAGATGTTTTCCCTTTCCTGCCACCTCCTGAAAATGCCACGGCGTCCCTAGCGTGATCAAATTACAATTTAACTTTGGGTTGGTTTAAAAATGTTGACAGTGCTGACTCAACAGGAGTGTTAGCACCCAACTCTCACAATCTCTCTCACACTCTTAATACTTTTTTCTTCTTGTAAAAAACGAACCATGTTTTTTAAACCACAGATGACTTGGTCTGTTGCAAGCATGACATCAACAACCCGGAACAGAAGACGTTCGTGGTGGAGAAGCTGCAGCCGGAGCCCTTCTACGAGTTCATGGTCACGGCGCGCACGGGGGCTGGCGAGGGCCCTCCTGGCACCTTCACCAAGGTCACCATGCCCGACCAGTACTGTGAGTTTTGCACAGCAACTGGGCCTGAGGAGTGCCTGGGAAACTGAGGCACACACATCTCCAGGGCTTTGTTTAGGACAGGAATCCTTGGTCTGTGTCTCTCCAGGAAATGTTGCACAGAATTGCACTACAGAAAACAGATAAGAGTGGGGCCAGTGGGACAGATCAGTGGCCTGGGACCTTCCGCCCACCTCTCTCTTGGCCCCCAGGCACTTCTCTGGAACTTGGCCCAGAACAGTGTGACAATGGCAGACAGCCTGAGCTAGTGTTGACTGTGGAAGAGCCATGTGACTCCGCGGGGCTCGGGCAGCGGGCGGTGTGGGTGGATGGGGCGCTGTCAGCAGCAGGGCTCTGCTGCCAGCCTTTGGTTTCCCTCGGTGGCAAAGTAACTGCTTCCCTCGGCCCCTCCGGGGGTGATGGGAGACGGGTGCGGTTGGGAAAGTATGTGTTCTCAAACCTGGTGGTTGCAGATCTGGTGGGGAAAGGGTGAGATAGAGACCCGTAATGTCATGGTCCTTTCAGCCTGAACGATGGAGGAAGGAAGGAGGAAGATGGCAGGAACCGGTTACTGGCACATGAGAGTCTCCTGGGAAACCCTGACCCACAACAAACAGGAAAGGGGGAGAAAACAGATGCCCAAGGAGGAAGGGGAGATGCAGGTGTCAATAGGGGACACAGAAGGTCCACGCTGGGGGGGGGTCTCTGAAGATCTCGGTGGAAGGCAAACAGGCTACGATGTCTGTGTGGGTGCTGGGTCCTTTGCTGAAGGTGGGGCTGTGGGGCAGGATGGGCTCCTTGGGTAGAAGGGCTGTCCTGTGGCCCTGACAGGTGATGAGGACACATGGCCACGGTGGCAGCTTCGGGCTCTCACTACCGTCCACTGAACGTGGCCCACGTCTCTGAGTCAGATGCAGGTTTCCGTCCGTGAGGCCTGTTATCTGAGCACTTTGCCACTTCAGAGTTCTTGTGAAATTTACTTTCAGGCTGTTTTCTTTTCTCTTTGGTATTTACTTGGCTGGTAGAGGTGTGTGTGTTCAGACACATATATAATACATATAATTATCTTTGTCTCCAGTGTATTTTCTGATTTCATTTATCTCCCTTATTTGTGCTAAACCTTAGCCTTGGCTGTGACTCTAGTTATTCTATTGATTATTCTTAAAAAGCAAATAAATAGCTGTATGGTTGCAGGGATGAGAGTGACATTCTACAGTCACAGGAATAGTATGGATGAGTCAGACGCACTGCAGAGCAACAGGGCAGCCCGCCTCGTGCTGATTCCATTTAGGGCAAAGGCGCATGTGCACTGTGCTATCAGATGAGATAGTGGCACCTTGGGAGGGAGATGGCTGCGTGGGGACACCAGGGAGCCTTCTGGGAGCTGCTCATGTTCCTTTCCCTGATTGGGGTACGGTCACATGGGAATGTTCAGTTTGTGGAAATCTATCCATCTGCACACTACGGGCACCTCTCTGTATGCATAATTCTACTTTAGTAAGAAGTTTAGCAAACCAGTCTGAAGTTTGGAAACTACTATGGTTAGGTCCCAGGCTTATTCTCAGTTAATTAAAAAAGTCCCTAATTTAACCAAATTTTAAAACTGTGGTCGTCAAAGGTACTGATTTGGAGAGCAAGGTGTTTTTAGTGGTGTCGGGACAAGAGCTTATTTCCCCTTCCCTGGTGTCAGGGCTCATTGGAGGCCAGCTGCCCAGGTGCTTTGCCACCCTCTCACCTTCTCAGGTCCTTTTCTCCAGGGTGCTATGCCACCTCATAGCACTGGGCTGGGCATCTTCTCAGGCCTGCCCTTCCTTACAAAACTCTAGCATCTGCATCTCCCCCACCCCCCCATACACAAACCAAATCCAACCCCATTCCTTCCAGAACAGCAAGTGCTGGGGCCAGGGTGTGGGGAGGGCAGGGAGCACAGGGAACAGAATGTACTACACGTGAATGACTGCCAGCCTCCAAACCCTCGGGGTGCACTGTGCATCTGTGAGAGCGGGTGTTCAGCGGCCCTGCTGAATTGCTAATGGGTGGACTGGCCCGCAGCGGGAACGGGAAGATGGGCACCCAAGAAAAGTCGTGGGGCAGAGGAGGGCACCACCTGCCGTGATGCTTGGGCAGGGGTGCAGAGTAGAATTCTAACACGGGGACAGAAGAATTGGGAGCAATGACTCCACCTGTGGAGGAGGTAACAACGGGTCTGGTCACAGGTGTTGAGGGCGAGCGGTGGCCTGTGCCTGGCCGGCCGGTTGGTTCCCCTCCACCCCCGAGAGACGGATCTCGTACTGAATCCTGCCTGTGTAGACTGTTGAGAAATAAATTGCAGTTACTCTCCACCTTAAGCTGACTTCCCTCCTCTGAGGCGGGAAGAGCACTCATTTAAAAGGCCGCTTTCTTTCCTCCCTGCAGTCAACGTACTGACCCGCATCATACTCCCCACCGTCTTCCTCCTCCTGCTCGGCACCATCCTGTGCTACATGAACAGTCAGTGGTGAGTGTGCGGGGGACTGTCCAGGGCCAGAGGGAACACGAGAAAGGCCTTGGATAAAGTGAAACCACACTGAGCGATACTTAAGGAAAGCAACAGCCACCTAAGGAGACTTGTTCAGTAACAGGGGCTAACGTGCATTTCAGGCATTGAGCCCCGTGGCACCGGGTCCTGTCCTGCAGCGCCCCATTCAGCAGCAGTGCGCCTCCCCAGCCCGTCAGTTGTCAGTTTCTCCGCCAGAAGGAGGGGCAAGCAAGCAAAGCACAGGAGGGTTAATAGCTCGCCCCAGGTCATGCAGTGAGCAAGCGGCAGAGCAGGGCTCACAGCCCAGGGATCTGACTTCAGAGCTCTGGGCCGTAACTGCTCCGACACACCGAGGCTCAGCCTCATTTCCGCCGTCTCTGTCTTTCTAGGATGAAGGAGACCTGCTACCCTGACATCCCAGACCCCTACAAGAGCAGCGTCCTGTCAGTACTGAAGCCCAAGGTGAGTACTGGGAAACTGGGTGGAAACACTATACCTGTTAAATTCTGGCGGCGGGGGGCTGTAATAGTCACACCTCCGAGGACCTCCCAGAGGGACACAGCAGAGCGAGCAAGGCTGCCTCTCCCCCATGGCCATGAAATGGGGGTGAACTTCAGTTTCTCCCATCCGGGGAAACCCCGATAACCTCCCGTTCACACTTGACCAGGAGGAAACAAGAAAAACGAAGCTCTATGCGCCTTCCATGTCCTTGACACACACACACACGTCATATTTGCCTGTTTTTGTCTCCGGTCCAGGAGAACCCTCGCCTGGCAATAATGAATGTCTACCACTGTGTTCCCGATGCCATCGAGGTTGTCAACAAGCCCGAGGGGAGCAGGATCCAGTTCCCGGGCGCTCGGAAGTCGCTCACGGAAACCGCAGCTACGAAGCCCGACTACATTTACCTCCTCCCCACGGAGGGCACGGGCCCCTGCATCTGTTTCGAGAACCTGACCTACAACCAGGCGGCTCCTGACTCGGGTGCCTGTGGCCACATCCCAGCACCCCACAATGCCCCACCAGGGCAGCTGGGACTGCTGACTTCACCTGGAAACTTACTGAAGTCACTAAAACTAAACTACATGAACTCCCCGGGGGAGATCCCAGCCGGAGAGACTACTTTGAATTACGTGTCGCAGTTGGCTTCACCCATGACTGGAGACAAGGAGAGTCTCCCAATGAACTCCCCCAAGCCAGCACCCCATTCCGAGTATAGAATGCAAATGGCCATACCCCTGGGTGTTGCCTCCCCTTCCTCGGATGAGAATAGCAATCTCTCAGTTACCCTTTTAGATCAGGGCGAACACTGCCGCTAATCACACTCCCATTTCATACCTTTACGCTACCGAGACACCAAGGGAAGCATGGCCAGCCCCACTCCACTGCCAGACCCCTGTGTTTCATCCCAGTGAGCTGTCACCGCTGGCAGGTCTGATTTATGCAAGACCACAGCCATCGTGCTAGGTTTCCAAGTGCAGACGCTATGAACCTTACCAGCCTTCCTCGCAGCAGGCTTGCTGTAGACACACGGTAGTGGAGCAGGCTCGCCTTTGGAACAGCCCCGGCACCTGGCGTAGGAGTAGATCCGTCCATCAGTCCTGGACGCGGTGGCCATGGCCCTGAGAAGTTCAGCGAGAAAGTATTTCCATTAATTTTACCCCTATGTTTACTATTTAAGGGTGAAGAAACTAGATTGGGGGTTTCGATTTAAAAGGCCACAGAAGACTCGTTACTAGAGCATAACTTGTCAGTGTTAATTTATTCTGGATGTATTTAATAAAAATGTCACAGATGTTTGAGCCCGAAACACGGTTTAGACTTGTCTTGCCATGATAAGAATTGGTAATTCATTGGTGCAGTAAAATGAACTCTCCTGGGCGCACAGACCTTGTCTAATAGGTAAGACATGTGACTGGATCAATAAGTCCCCACAATTGTCCTTCTCTCTTGCTTACCATGGTTAGAGAGGGACTGGCGAGGAAGTCCTTAGGGTCAAGATAACAGCACTCCCACTTAGTAGGCACCAGTCTTCCACCGTAATTCTTGATGACTACCTCAAACAGAAAAAGGAAAGCAAATCACTGAGTAATTATGTTCACATTTTATGGTTCCTATTTGTTTTCAAGAACTGAAATATATGTGACCTGTTTTCATTTAGCATCCTTTGGACTCTACAGTAGGGTGTCTGGGCCATAACACCCTCACTCATTTATATTCCTGTTATGCTACCCTAATAAATGAATGAAACCACATGTTTGACAACAATAATTACTAGAAGCATAACTAGAAGCTATCTGGAGTGGGGAAATTCGGTTTTGGCTCAGCAGCAGCTCTGTCTTGCACTGCACAGCAGATGTTCACTATATTAGCTCCTTTCCCTTCCTTCTGCCTGTCAACCATAATGCTCACGGGTCACGTTTCTAGACAAGCACACGCACGGTTGTCTGCTGCGGTGGACCTGGCACTGCCTGTGCCTCTGGTACCCAATGCCCTGCACGGGCCGTTAACTCCACAGAGAGGGAGGCAAAGACCACGCCTCACAGTGAGGTGGCTGTCAGCTGGCCTGGATGTACTCAGACGCCAGGCTTTCAACACTGTCCTCACGTGTATCTCAGCCTTCTGCTAGGAAAATTGGTTACAAAGTCCTAACACAGTACAAACAAGTATCTCGATTAGTATAGTAGCTTCGAGGAGACTCTGGGTCCAGTATTGTCATCATTTACCCTCTTGTGTTCCTTGATCACGATGCAATTATAAACGTCCACAGAAATGTCAATGACAGATTTGTAAACAGTATCTTTCATATAGAGTTTTTAAAAAAAATAATGTACAAGATCTTGAAGTTGTTTTTGTTGCCACAAGCCTTCATTAAAATATTTCACCACTGCATTATTTTGTGTTTTCTTGACCTCAATGAAATGAAACAATTAGTATAGCAGATAAATCACCACACGAGCTTATGTAAATGCCTGGGTGCCACTCTAAGCCTCCAGATCAGGATCTCTGGCATGAGGCCTTGCATCTATCTATCCACCAGGCAGTCATTCAGATGCACACTCAACTCTGAGACTCATTGGCCTACGCAAACGAAGACATCTTTCTGAAATACAAAAACACACAGCAGGAAATGCTGGACTAATAACTGTGTGCTTACAGTATTGCTGTAACTATAGTTTTGGTTACAAACATTCCTCTCCCATGTTCATAACCACCAAATAAATCAGTATTTAAAACCTTAAGTGTCAATACTATATGCTTAACACCATTGCTTTAAGAAGTGTTACTCAAAAACTCTGAAATTTGTATTCATGTGTCAGAATTAGTAGGATTTAAAAAACTAATGGGGAATTTCAAACAGACATAAAATAGTTTCTCATTGCTTCACTTGACTAGCCTAAAATTAAATACGGAACTGCCATTCAATCCAGTGACCCCACTTCTGGGAATATATCCTAAGAATCCTCAAACACCAATCAGAAAGAATATATGCACCCCGATGTTCATAGCAGTGCAATTTACAATAGCTAAGATCTGGAAACAGCCCAAGTGCCTGCTGGTAGATGAGTGGATAAAAAAGCTGTGGCACATTTACACCATGGAATACTATACAGCTATAAAAAAAGGGATCTCTTACCCTTCGGGACAGCATGGATGGACCTGGAGAGTATTATGCTGAAATTTAAGCCAGTCAGAGAAAGACAAATATCACATGATCTCACTTATTTGTGGAATCTAATGAGCATAATAAGCTGACAAAACAGGTCCAGAGGCATGGATGCATGGAACAGACTGACATATCTGGGGGGAGGGGGAGAGGGGAAGAGATTAACTGAAGAACACACACACACACACACACACACACACACAC